ATATTTTGTCTCTAGAACAGGTACGAAGCGCGGTCGCGCTGTCATTTTAGAACGAGTTTGTTGGAACAGAGGGTGCAAAAAAAGATCATGCCGTTTTTGAGTAAGCGAATTATTAGATATTTTATAGAGATTTTAACAATAAGTATAAATTTTGTTCACATTCCTATGGGTTACGTACCAATGTTTATACGGCGACGCGGCGCTTACGCGCTTCGACATTTCGTCTCAATGCAGTTAAAGCGGTACGATTGTGCTTTGAAAAAAGTTCAGAATTTCGAAAATACTTCAGAATAAATGATTTAAGATAGAATGATTTAATATGGTTCGAAATTCTATTAAAAGTTTCAAATCATTGATCAACTCTTATTGATTATTATTGATTATTTTTAGTTACTCGAATTTTGACTTGTGGTACGGGAAGTTCCAGCAATTTGCCTTACGGCACGATGCCTTAATTGCCTTAAGACAGAATTCCACTTACAGCTAGTTGTAACGTCGTTGGTTCACCAAAACAGTCTTCTACATGAATATTTCTTTTTTTGATTGCTTTTGCTGGTTTCCGAGTATTTTTTTCTTCATTTCCAAAAGATGTTACTTCTGGAAAATCATGTTTTTTTTGTAATTTTTTATATTTTTTTAGAAATTTAATTTTACATTTTTTAGAATTTTAAATTTTTATGTCACTTTTGACAGAAGTGTATGACTTGCTTGATTTTGTTTTTATTGATAAACTAAATTTAATATAATTGAATTGAAAAATAAGGAAATAAATAGAATATTTATTTTCTATAATTGTAGAGATATCTAAGAGAATTTAGTTTAGTATATATATGGTGGATGTTAAGGCTGATGAACTTCATAGAAATTTTTTTATCCACTTTTGGCTTGTTTTTTCAGTTATTTGTTAGCAAGTGTATGACCCAAAAATATGACTTTTAATAAGTTCGAGCCACTTTTTATGAATGTATAATTAGGTGTATACTCTATCATTATACAAAATATAATCAAAATAGTTCACAAAATATATTTCATAAATAGATTGAGAAATAACGGCTTGGCCAAAATTTCATGAATTTCGATTGATTATGCCAGACGATTGCTCGACCAGTTTCTTTAGAATTAGTAGAAAAAAGCATAAATTTTTATCTCCATTAGCGACTAGAATTTCAAAATTCTTATTGTGGAAATTTAAATTAAGTAAATTCTTTAAAAATTTATCTAAATAGCTAGATCTTAATCTTTAATAAGAATTTACACATATTGCATTCATGCAACTTACAACTAGTTCTTAGTTTAATTGCCATCTCTTACTGTAGCAAAAAAAAATCCATTGATAAAATTCAAATATTGAAGTCAATTTTCAAATAAAATTTTAAATTTTTATATTTTTATAAACTTTGTCGATTCTTCGAATCGATCTTTATCAGTTTGTACTGACATTGATTTTCGAATTCTAAAGTAGAGAAAGTCAAGGTACTCGAAATATTACGAAATCGAATACAATTGTAAAGACTTTAATGTAAGACAATAAAATTTATTAATGGAAGAGCTGAGAGGTATAATTAATAGACTTTTATATATAATAATGTAATACATAATTTTTTAAAAGTGTATGCGTACATATACATACACATATATCTCTATTTTACCTACTGTATACCAAACATTACTCTGTATACCAAAAATTTTGCTAACAATATATAAACTAGCTGTAAGTGGAATTCTGTCTTAAGGCAATTAAGGCATCGTGCCTTAAGGCAAATTGCTGGAACTTCCCGTACCAAAAATTATTATTTTTTTAAAAACGATTAACATTTTTGGAAGAAAAATTACTTTGAAAAAATAAGATTTTTGAGAAACTATAAATTGGCCAAAAAATTACTTTTTTAAAAAAAAAATTTTTTCTTTATTTTGACATATTGTGGAAGATCTGAACTTTTTTCAAAGCAATCGTACTGTTTTAACTGCATAGGGACAAAATATAAAGCGCGTAAGTGCCGCGTCGCTGTCTAACGCATAAGCATTGGTACGGAACCCATAGGAATGTTAACAAAATGTATACTTATTGTTAAAATCTCTATAAAATATCTGATAATTTGATGTGCATATGTCTAATGATCATTTTTGACCGCCAAATGGCTCATTTTTTTACTTTTTCCTCCATATCTCCGAAACCGCTAGACCTACCTTCATGAAAATTTTATCGATTCTTCATCTTGTCAATACAAGTGAAACGTTTTTTGAATTATTCAAATCGGACGCTCCGTTCTCTTAAAAACTGAGTTACCGTTTTCGGCACTTTTTGCCCCGTATCTTCGGAACGGCTAGACCTGCCTTCGCCAAAAACTAATCAGCACGTCTCCTTATCAATACGAATCGAATGTTTTTTGAATTATTCAAATCGGTTGATCCGTGTTCCCGAAATCGTCGACGAAAATTTGTATCCGCACATACATACACACACATACATACATACATACATACACACACACATACACACACACACACACACACACACATACATCCATTTTTTCTAAGGTATGCCAAAATGTTCAGAAACCTTTGAAACGTAAAGATATATAAAAATTTTCATTTTCGATTTTTTTGCGATTACTATAACTTACCCTACGGGAAGTTAAAAATATCGTTTCCAATTTTTTCAATTACTATAACTAAATTTACGGAAGATAAAAAATGAGATTCTTGAGTTTATTTCTATATAAACAAATCTTAAATTTGAACTTACTTTAAATTTACACTTATTTTTAAAGTGAAATATGAACAAAAAAGTTTAAATAAAAATGTAATTTTAGTAAATGCATCAATTTTATTTTTATTCAATATAATACACATTGCAATGTATGTTATAACAATTAATTTAGTTAACTAATATTTCAGAATTATTACCTAAAATATTGAACTTATTTAAAATATTAATTTTAACTTACATTTTACATTTCTAATTACAATTTTATACCACATAAAGCTTTTACAAGAAGCTTTATACACAAGGCCATACAATTTATGAGTAATTTTTTATTACACCAGGTACAATATTTTAGCTTAGTTTTATAGAAAAATTTAACAATTTAAGCTCATAATTTTCATATTTGATTTAAAAAAATATTAATAATCAAAATTATTAAATCAAAAGTTATATTTACCTCAATAAGTACATTTAAATTTTTTTGTTAACAAAATTTGATTGTTAAATATTTATTAATTTTACATATTAATATGACATATTTAACATTGATATTATTTGAAATACTGAAATTAAGATATAATAATATTAAAAGTATTACTGAAATTTTAAAATTGTAAATAAGTTGTGCTTGTCTGGATATTTTTTAACTAGAAATAATTATCCACAATGAAGGCATTTTGCAAAAGTAATATTGTAAGGCAAAAATGCTCCTATTGAATATTATTTTCTACAATATTATTTTTTCCGAAGTATATTAAGAAATATCAATATGAAATGAATTTGGCAGTTCTAGTAGAAGTTAAATTTTATACTATTTTAGTTTTGTCTTGAAATAAAATATTACTGATAATAAAACAAATGAATGATGCATTTTAAAGGATGCACATTAAAATTCAGGAATAAAACGTTTTATAATAAATTTATTTATGGCGATTGTATATATATATATATATATATATATAATATACATATAATTTATTATTCTATTTTATGAGTATTGCTTTGCAACTAATTAATATATTTACAAATAAGTACACTTATATAATTCCTTGATTTAAGAGCAAATTTTTGCGTGTCTTATAATATAAAACCTAAATTTTAAAATAATTTTTAAAGTATTTTATAACAAGGCATTATTATGGATATTTTTTAAATGTTTATTATACATTTTTCACTAGTAATGTTTATAAATTAATTTACATTTATATAAATTATTTACATAGATACAAATTTGTTGTGAGATTTTTGGGAATGATTGATTGTACGGCAGTAGTATTGTTTTTAATCATTTTATTTACCAATTTTATAATATTTAGTAAATTTTGTAAGCAAAACTCTTAAATTTGAAAATTCATACATAGAACTATCAATATTTATTTCAAATTAGTACGATTTTGGTCCAGTAAATGTTGATTTTAATTTTACTTGTAAATAATATAAAACGTTGGTCAATTCAATATTAATAGTAAAATTTATTGAAAATATCTTCACTTTGTTATTTTACTCAGTGTGAAATTTTACCATATCTTACAAAAAAATTCGAACACAAAAATTTTTATTCCTAGATAATACTCGTAATTTATTCACAAAAAAGTAAACAGCACAAATTCAATAATATGTTTGTGAAATTAATAGATATATATTCTTTCTTGAAAATTCTTTTATAATATGAGCTTTTAAATTCCATTTACTAGTTGTAATTATTTCTCAATACAATTACTGTATTCTCCAAAAAAATTGAAAGATTTTACTACAAATCAATTTTTCATATATAAATCAAACATCCCCCCTCTTTTGAAAAATAGGTAGAAAATCGTAATTTTATTCTATTGGATATATATATATATATATATATATATATATATATAATTTAATATATAAACACAAATTTGTTTTAATATATTTTTCATCAAATTTTGAGTTTATAAAATCTAATTGGACATACATTTTCAATTTTAAAGTAAAAATTGACATCAATGTTGACGATTGGAAAAAAATTCCATATAAATCGGTTTAGTTCCATATGAATTTCTAGTTTTTATTGAATATTAGTATTTTTTGACAAAAATTCTCAATTTGTTATATTACCAATAAATTATGCCAATAAATTATTAACCTAAATAATTCAGTAAATTATATTGATAAAATAAAATATTCATAATTAATTTTTCAGATCTATCTTACGACTTACACTTGTGAATAAATGCAACTTTATATAATTTTATATATATATATATATATATATATATATATATATAATTGTATTTTTATTTATATTTTATTACAAAGTTGTTTAAGTAGTCGCCGTCTGTCCAGGAGGATTTGCAACTCCGAAAGAACTGACAAAAACATTTACAATTGTTATTAAAAATATACCAATTACTGTGTAATTGTTGATTTTGTCTGCACGACAAATGTCGTCTTCATCTTTTACATTGTATCTGAAAAAATAGAAAAAAAAATAGAAATAGAAATATAAAAAAAAAATCATTTATCACAATTCACTTTTACAATACACATGAAATAATCGTAGTTGCCAATTAATTAAAATGTTATTATCAGGTTATTTATTATTAACACGTTTTTGTTAAAAAAAATTTCAACAAAATGATTTCTTATGATTTTTTGGGATTTTTTTGTTAATTTTTATGTGATTTAATAATTTTAAACTTTTAGTTTTGCTCTGAAAAAAAAAGGCAACGTAATTGCTTAGTTTGCTAGAAATTTATTTTAATTACATTTACATATACAAATTCGATTCTGTTGGAATGGTTATAAATATAAAATAATCCTCATTTTTTTTATTGATTTCAAAATTAAAGTATACACGATTTTGAGAAAAATGACAATTTAATTATATTTTTGGTTTAAATAATTTCAAACTCTTTGGTTTCGCTTTGTAAGCACGATTTAGGAAAAATGACAATTTAATTATATTTTTGGTTTAAATAATTCCAACCTTTTTGGTTTTGCTTAAAAAACAGCTATTATTACTTAGTAAGCATTAAAATTAAGTAATTTAATATTTTTTACTTTAAACTATGAGATATAAAACATAAAAATTTATACTAATCTATTTTCATCTAAAATATAAAACTTTCATCTTTGTCTCAAATATTTTTCATTATTTCATTACTCAACTTCATTCAGTTTTAAAATTATTTAATTGGAAAAAAGATATTAGTACAATAGTTCATTTGACTAAAAAAAACTTCAAGGGTTTAAATTTATTTTAACAATAACTAAACTATAACTAAAATTCTTTGAGTATTCTTCAATATTTTTTCTTTTGAAATAGATTTGACAAAAAGTACACGCATATCTTTAATTTTAACAGGAATTTATGAATTTTCAGTTTCAGATTGATTTTAAACACGATTTTAAGAAAAATGGCATTTTTTATTGTGACTTTATGTGAATAGTTATAGACCTTCGTTTTTTTTTCAAATATAAGAAAACAACACTATTCGTAAATTAATGTCCTCTTTAAATTTTCTTGAGATATAAAAAAATAACTAAAATTAAAATGAAATTTAATCCTTATACCTTATAATATTTTTCATAATTTTTATTTCTCGCCTAAGTACATATAAATTCATAATTTAAACAAAAATATAAGTACATTAGTTCATTTGAGTGAGAAAACTTCAAGAGTTCAAAACTTTTAACAAGATTTTTTTTCTAAAATTCTTTGAGTATCTCCAATATTTTTATTTTTTGGAATAGTTCTAAAAATTGCATTTTTTAAATAAAATTTTATGTAATTTTTTACTACATACCTGCTGTTCCAAATTAATCCTACACCTACTGCTATCTGTAATGGAAAAATCAGAAACATTTTATACTAGAAATAATTTATATGGCAAAACGTTTGCCGGGCCAACTAGTATATATATACAATATTAAATTACAAAATTGAAAATAGTAATTTCAATCCCTTACCTGTAAAACAAGACTCATACTAATAAGAATCAGACTAGGAAAATAATATGGATGTCTGTCGTAGGATTCCAGGACATATCTGAGTTGATTCGCATTTGCAGAAAGTAGGGCCAGATCCATCATTCCTTGGGCCAGAGTTTTTTTGTGCTGGTACACGTTGACATCTGGGATCACTCTTGGATCTCCATCAGGCTAAATAATGAAAAAATAATAAATAGTGGTGTTGGTATTTTGCCTTGAGGCAAGTTACATGAACTTCCCGATATGTGTTAATAATCGACTTAATTAGTAAAAAATAAATTCATTTATGAGTGATTAAAAGTATTTCGAACACGTCAACTCGGAGTATTTTCTAAAAGCAAATTTTCAAAAAACAATAATTTTTATAATTGAACCAGTTTCCGTAGGACTTTAATGGTTTAGTATGTTCATTAAGACCAAATACTCTCTCGTTATACCAAGTAAATCGTCTAATTTTAATTTTAACAAACGTCAAAAAAACTACTCATTTTCTCAAACTTTGATGAATTTTTAAAGTTAAACTACTTGTCGTGAGGCCGTAATATTTCAGTAAGTTCTATAAGACCATGATATATATCGCAAAAAAAAAGTTCCATGAAAATCGGCTTAAATTTTTTTTTTCGACAGTTAATTATAAGAAAACGACTCGGTTTTCACCTAAAACTAATCAGTATCATTCCCAACTAATATCTTTCGAACAGTTTTTGATTTTTAAAATCGCTTCGGTAGTTTGAGGTTGAATGTGGACGAAAAGTTTAACTTTTTCTGTTCAAATTACAAAGAAACGGCTCGGGAGATCGTCTCACAAAACTGACAAACTATAGTCCTCATTGAGATACATAGAATAGCTTATAAATTTCTGAAATAGATTCAGGCGTTTTTGAGAAAACCTTCATCAAAGGTCTAATTTTAACAAATGCCAAAAAAACGATACTAATTTTTGCAAACTTTGAAGAATTTTCAAAATTAAACGACTTGTCGTAGAGCCGTAATATTTTAGTCTGATCTACAAGCCTATGGTATCTACCGTAAAAAAATCATATAAATCGCCGAATTGTTTTTATTAAACTTTATTACAAGAAAACGGCCCGGCCGATCTTTACCAAAAACTAATCAGCACGATTCTCAACCAATATCTTTCGAACGGTTTTCGAATTTTCAAAATCGATTCAGAATTGCGGGCTAAAACGTAGACGAAATTTTTTTCACTTTTCTGCGATGTACAAAAAAACGGCCCGGCCGATAGTCGAGATACATCGATCGGCTTTTAAATTTTCGACATCGGTTCTTCCGTTTTGGAGAAAACGTCGATTTACGGCAAAAAATCTGTTCACATACACGCACACACACACACATACTTTTTCCAAATTTGGTCTCATTCGATTCAGAATGGCTTGAAACGTCGAGAAAACATAAAATTAGTGAATCGGATTTTTTGATAAAAACATAAACTTCTCCTTTGGGAAGTTGAAAATTATGGAAATAATAATAATGGTGATATCATTTAGTATTTACCGTCATTGGTGTAAAATCTGGTGCATATGGAAAAGGTGGAAAACTTCCTCTTCTGGAGCCAACACCATTGTGATGATGATGATCAGGGTCGTAGTGGTGTTTGTCATCATCTGAGAAAGCCCTTCCTGTTATTATTTATAAATGATAAATACAATTGTTAATTTTCCATCACCAGTTGTTAGATTTATCTTATATATAAAAATGAATCGCAAAATGTGTTGGTAAGCGCATAACTCAACAACGCCTGGACCAATTCGGCCAATTCTTTTTTTTTAAATGTTTGTTGAATACCAAGGATGGTTCTTACGGCGAGAAAAATTTGAATAATTGCCGGAAAAACCCTAAAAACAGCCCTTTTCTTTTTCTCATACTATTGTTTTCTAACTAAAGCGTAAAATCAAATTGATCCTACTAAAGATCACATTAAATTACAAGCACTCACTATATACTTCTTCTAAACGATTATTCGGATTTTGATAAATATTTCTGAAGTTTGTTAAGGAAATTTTCTAGGATGTATGTGATTATAAAGTACTGTGATGTATGTGAAATATTGTAGAAATAAGTGAAAATAAATGAAAACTATGATCTGCCAAAAATTTTAATTTACTTATAAACCTAGACAATATTAGAATATATGTAATAAATATAAGATTATGAATAAAAAATTGAAAAGACTACATTATTATTGCTGAAAAGCAGCTGAGTTGTGCCAAAAATTAAAATAATGCAAAATACAGTATATGTATGGCAGATTGAATTAGACACATATGAACAGGATATGGCAAACTAATTCACTTAAAATATTAAATTAAGTATTTATTAGCCTACCTTTAATGCGAAAAATACGAGCGCATGCCTTAGGAGGCGCCAACACAAGATTCGGATATTAAATTTTCAATATAGTTTTTTTTCAATATATAATTTCTTTACATCTTTAACTAATCTTTCCACAATATTTTTGAAATTCTTACAAATTTTACTTTAGAACAACAAATGGAAAAGTGGAGATGAATACATACAATTCGGCCCCTACGATATCGATTAGGAGAAGTTTAAGATACAATTTTAGATATCTTAAATAATTAAAAATTAAATTAATTTAATTCAACATGGAGTACCAGTGTTATGTCATGGTTATGGTTATGTTATACCGTTTAAAAGACTTCAATTTCCAAAATAGTGTGGGAATTGAGACTCAATATTTTATTTAAAGCAGTTCTACATTTAACATCGCTCATATTATAAATGTATATGCATTCTAGCGTGAAGAGTAATTTAAAAAACAATAATTATTATTTTTAGGTAACCAGTAAATATTAGTATATTATATTAAAAAATTGTAGACATGGGTACAGAACAATGTCTGTCGGGTCATCTAGTGAAAAATAAAGTTATCTTCTATATATATAAAAAAGTCGGGTTTTCCTTCCTGACGATATAACTCCAGAACGCACAAACCGATTTCGACAATTTTGCATTCGTTGGAAAGGTCTCGGGCTCCGCAAGGTTTATAGCTAAAAAAAATTAGTTGTGCATGGCATCGTGCCTTGATGCAAGCTACTGGAACTTCACGCACCGTAATTAAAAATTCGAGTAATAAAAATAATCAATAACTGTTTTAAATAATTTCAAATAGATAATCTTCTATATATATAAAAATAAGTCGATTTTTCCTTCCTGGCGAAATAACTCCAGAACGCACGAACCGATTTCGACAATTTTGCATTCGTTGGAAAGGTCTCGGGCTCCGAAAGGTTTATAGCTAAGAAAATTAGTTGTGCATGGCATCGTGCCTTGATGCAAGCTACTGGAACTTCACGCACCGTAATTAAAAATTCGAGTAATGACATTAATGAGAATTATCAGAATTATGCTTGGTTAAGTCAACGAGCAATTCTTGCCGCAAAGAATAATGATGTACACGCACTGAATTTCACCATTCAATCAAAAATTGCTGGCGATTTGGTGACATACCAATGATTCCGACTGGTCCTCCGTTTGACTTCAAACGATTGCAATTTCCAAGCGTTCGCAATAACAAGTCGCAAGGCCAATCGCTTAGTGTTTGCAGGATAAATTTCAAATAGATTATTTAGAAAATCATTGTTTTTCACATGGGCAGTTATACGTTGCCTGCCTGTTCACGAGTTGGAAAACCATCCGCTTTGTTTGTGTTAACGTCAGACCAAAAAACAAAAAATGTGGTTTACCAAAGGGCACTTCAATGAAACGGATAATTTGCGGATTCACTTTCATTTACTTAGAGAAGTTCAACTAAAAAACACTCGATTTTTGTAATCGAAATAAATTCATTACTGTTGTATAATAAAATCACATTTTTCCTTTTCAAATATAAAACAAACAAAAAATTTCTTCATCTTTCTCACGAAACCATCTGGTGGCGAAACGGAGTTTGTCGGGTTTGATGGTGCAATATATAAATTTGATTTGTTACAGTTTTTGGATACATGCAAGAATTTATTTAGGCGTTTTTGGATTGAATAGAATATTAGGTTGTCAAATATCTCCCTTCCGCTTTTTTGCTCTTGGTTTATAATACAAAAAGACGGAAGGGAGATATTTGATATCCTGATATAATGTAATTGTGCAATCCAATAGCAAAATGATCAGGTGATCAATTCTTAAAAATGACTCAAAATTAGACTTTTGTTCTGCATATTAATCTTTAAAGCCAAAGCACTTATAAAATCTATTGTCATGCAAATATACTCTACTTCTAAATTTCTACTAAATTTCTACTAAAAAAGCTGATCTTGTCCAAAAAATACCATCATGCTCGTCTTTGTCTTTCGGTTTCGGCGGTAGCAATCCGTCATCTATACCAGGTTCGTCCTCCTCACCATTTGTCCTGGTAAAGAAACCATCGTCGACTCCTGGTTGAGGCAAAGCTGGTGCAGAATCGGAACCATCTGATTTGTCAGTGTCCCAAATTTCAGGACCTTGAGTGAAATCGTTAGGTCATCGATTGGAGATTAAATTGAAAGAAATGTTAGTAAGAAGACTTGATACCAGACCAAAAGATGTTGTTTGGTTAGTTCAGGTTAATTGGCTGAAGAAAATATTGATTTTTTGTCAGTTTGGTTAGTTGGTTTTTGCTAGTGTCTTGAGTTTTACGACCTTAAGGAATTGTCATCTAATTGGAGATCAGGCTGATTTGGAAAGCAATGTTAGTAAGAATTGCTAGCCAAGAACAAAGAAGTTTTTCTGTTAGTCCAGGTTTAAAATGTTGGAGGTCACCCCCAGATATATCAGATTTTGCATCATCTAGTTTGCCAGTATATTAATTCTAGAACATTAAATGATGACATAGAAAAGGAGAACAATTCATATTGGATATAAATAAAGAACTGTTAATTGCAAGTGTGAATAAAAAAAGTATTGATGTTTTCTGTTAAAATTTCTTAAGGACATCAATAAATAAATTATGATGCATCAGTGTCAAAATGTGTAGAACCTTAATTCGTAAGATCATAGAAAGAATGATCAAGAAGATGAGTACATTTATTTGTTTTTGAATCGACGAGAGAGGTTAAAAATACTATAATAATAAACATGACGTTAAATCTTGGACATACCCAGTAAAACAAGAGAAAATTAACATTAGATTTAAGCAGTAATTTTTGAAGTTTTTGGTCAAAATAAATTTTACAAAATAGAAAATGAAATTTAATAAGAAAGTAAGTTTGTTTCATAGGTTTATTTCTTAGAGAATTGATGTGGTCGGACAAAATGACTAAAATCATGTCAGACCAGAAGTTTTAAGAAAACTAGAAAAAATTGTGAAACAAAATATTTCAAGAAGGAATCCATACGGCGTTGGATCAAAATAAATAAAATAAAATAAAATAGTAAAATAAGTTTGGATATTATAAAAAAAGTTAGTCATGACATAAGTATTATTTTTCCACTGCCACCAGAAATTTATCAATCACAGCACAAAATAGTTGACGTTGATGACACGTTTTAGAAATAAATTGTTTGGTCAAGTAGTCAAATATTTGATTCACAAAAATACTTAGATGATGATATTAGTATGTCGATGATAAAAGGTATTTTTATCTCAATTTACCAGAAAGTCAGTTGCATTTAGACAGCAGCCAAAGCCAAAGAATTTAAAGCGTTGTGCATAGCCACAGAAGTAGAAAGCGTGAAAAAGAAACATTGCTATAAAATTTGTATAAAAATATAACAAATTTTATAAAAGTAGTAGTTACCAGCAAGTGGAGGAATTGGCTCCTTATTTTCGATATCGGTTTCTCGTAAAGGCTGTAAGTGAAGAGAGTCCATGTCAAATGAAGCCCTTCTTGATCTCCTAAGCTAAAAAGGTATTATCATCAATAAAATATTAAAAGAGCTATTCTAGGTGACATGAAGATAATATCCCGCAGCAAAATAATAGCAACAGTAATAAAATATACTTGAAGTCGAAATGGTAATATTTTGACATTTGTACTATTTCGAGGTTAGTAGGTTAGTTTTTAGACTTTAGCGATAACAAAATTTGGAATAAAGATCATAGACAGAGCCTTGTGACCATTTTTTAACTGCCGACACATTCGGGGCCAACATACGAGGGTCATGTAAAAAATAAGGTTCCCACATTTTTTTCAGGGTTGAGGCATTTTTTATTGCAATAAATATGTATACCATCAGAAAGCTTGTATTTTAAACTATTTTTCTACATAGTCGACAGATATTTCAACGCATTTTTTCTGAGGTGTTTTCCGCTTCTGAAAACCTGCTACGGAGAACTCCGCCGCCACGCCCTTGCTCAGTCTTCTTCTCCGGCCTGTCCGAATTTATAGTGGACCCTTCAGACATAAACTCGGTAAGAAAGACCTTTTCGGTTCCAAAACACGATGGCCTCGCGCTTCTTTGCTCGTCGTGAACGTCTGTTCGTCCTTCGGAGAACTCCCTGCATCGTTTGAGGACGTGTTGGACGTTGATGCTAGTTTTGCCATAAACTTCTTCCAACTGTCTATGAATTTCAATAGGTGTAAGCTTCTTCGCGTTTAAAAATCGAATGACTGAACGGATTTCACACCTGGCGGTGACGGCGATTACGCGCTCCATCGCGGATGGCTGTTACACTGGCACTGAGCTCTGCAGTGATCTTCCAGGTAGTTGGAATGGAGTGGCAAGGATCAACACTGAAAATGGTGTTACCGGATTTCCCCTAGTATCTCACACGGCGTGTATACAGCGTTGGGAACCTTATTTTTTACATGACCTCGTAGAAAGAACATGATTTGTCGAAATAAAAGGTACGAGTACATCTGATTAGGGAATGCAATACCGGTATACCGGTATACCGAATTACCGCTAAACCGCCCGATTTTTCGGCGGTATTTTTACCGGTATTTATTCCAAAAATATACCGGTATTTTTGGTATTTTTACATAAGCGCTATTTGATACATAATACACTAAAGTTTAAATTTCTCGGAACAAATTTATCTTTAAATTCCTTAATCGCATAAACAGCTATATCTTCAAGTGATTCTATAGGATAAACAAATGTCAAATATTATTTCAACTTACCATTAAACTGAATATTTATTGATTTCCAAAGGGCTTCATATCGTGTTAAAATAAATAGAATTGGACTGACAGATAATGATCTTTGTTTCATCTTACGTAAAAATGTAACGGTTTTTTAAGTGATATTTGCGCCAAAATATTTTATATCATACAGATTACCCCTGTGTAATCATTATTTTTTTCTAACTTCATACATAATAATTATGATAATTACTAAATATTTTTGCTTCTTATTACAATTATAAAATATTATTTTTCGAAAACGTTTCGAAGTTTAAAAATACTATAGAAGCATCACATTGTTTTAGATAATAATACTCAACAATTATAGTAACTTATTATTTATCTCGACAAAGTATCCGATCTTAAATTAGTGTAGAAGATTTTTTTTTTTTAAATATTGGAGATTATGCTAATTTAACACATCGGATACAGGCAATACAGTTTATTATAATAATGTAATATGATCTTTTATGAGTTTTTGGTCTTTCTTACTCATACGTTTGTTTTTGGTGAAAAGTACTCAATATACTCGATAGTGATAATGAATTAATTAAATTGGATATAATTTTGTTAAATTATTATTTAAAAAATAAACTTATTGTTTATATTGTTTTGTTGAATATATAGTTGTAGTTTTATATACATATTTTTATTTTTGTACTAGTAATTTTCGATTTTGTTTACGTTTGTTTAAGATAATAAAAATACCGGTAATTTACCGGTATTCCGGTTTTAAAATTGAAAATTACCGAAATACCGGTATTGTAATTTTCCATCGGTATTGCATTCCCTACATCTGATTACATAAAATAGTTATTGAAGCTAAAAATATGCTCATAATGGGTTTGTTCTAAGTGTAAGTTCCATCTATCAATTCCCTTACCAGTCTGTCTGGTGAAGTCCCCCTATGAACATCAATATTACTATGATTATCCGTCAGGCTAGTCCTCGATTTTCCTCCTGGCCCTGGCGACAGGCGCCGCCGTAGTCGCAGTATGAAGTGGTGACCCCGATGGTGACGCACTGGTGGTGCCGATGCTCCTGGCCGAGATGGTGGTGGCGTCATCGCCGTCAGTGGCGTCGACTATTGGGTTTTCGGTTATGTTTATGGTGGTGTGGTGAGGTGATTCTGAAGTTGTGTCGCTTGGTAGTGAGTTGTTCATTGTTGGAGGTTATAGTTGAATCTGAAATGGTGAAATTAATATGAAAATAAGTTGATTTTTAATTACATTATTCTCGTATGTTGATATAATAATAATGGGTAGTATGTCCGTGAGCTGAGTGAAAATTTTGGTTCTGAAGTAAAACTTCTTTAGGGAAATAGCGTTACGCCCGAACTGTTCGTCATTCGTTCTCGATGAGATGACTTCTATACGGGTCGAATGTGATTAGTCATCGTGTATATGATTAGAGATCTATCGTTGTATGCGTACCGATATCAACAAGCAAATCGGCATACTTCAATAAAAATTTTAAAGTTACATCGTAGTACATATCTTGATTTAATGAAAAATGCCTGAATCAGAAGAATATTTTACCCTGAATTAAACATTTGTGCCGTGTACTAAACCTAAGTTTATTGGGTAGAAATTATTTCCACATTATTCGTAGATTCTATAAATCTTTGAAGTTATTAAAATGGAAAATATTTATTAGTCAAGACAGCTGTTCAAAGAATGAAATTATATCGCCAGCGAAAAAGTAAAAAACTACAAGCAGTCAATGAATGTATGTAAATTTTGATTACATGAAGTTCTTATAGAATTTATTAATCAGCAATTACTTCATTTCTCTAATGAAGGTTCATTTCTAAATGCTAATTACACCTTACTTCCTAAGCTTAAAGAATTAGATACTACGTCTGTTTGAAACAAACAAAGAATTTGAATAATCATAGCAGTTTTTGTATGGATTTATATTTGTAAGGAGCATATAAATACTTAATTCTTAAACACTCTTTGAAGAATATTTTCCTGTAAAATTGATATCATATATCTTAATACACATCCTGCATTCCAAGTATATAAATTATTTATACAAACAGTATGTGACATATAGAATTGAATAGAATGGTTTTATTATTTTAAATTAATATAACATATATATATTTAACAAATGTGGGAGGTCGTCTTAGTTAGAATAAAGAAGTGACTGTAAGATTATTTATTACAAGAAATAGTCTTTGTCATTTGACTTATCTGAATATGGAGATCGATTTAATCACCTGAGGTGCATTAATAAATAACTACTATGGTAATTTATATGCATTCTTTGTTTATAGATCATTACTGAGATGAATAATAATTTATATATATATATGTATATATATATATATATATATATATATATTACAATACAATAAACAAAAAAATCAAATAAACGAACATTTTAAATCAAAGTTTATTTAAATTTTAGGTTACAAAAGCACGAGTTTGCAAAAATAAATAATTCATGTCATTTTATTCAATTTCCAGATGTTTTTTTATACTTATAGTAACGTGATTGACATTTTTTATTTTAAATATTTCAGTATAAAAAAAAATTCAGAAGTTATCGCTAATTTTTATAATTTTATATCAAAACCAAATGTAAATTGTTAATAACGACTCTTAATTAAGACTATATACTCGTACAATTTCAAAATATTTATTATTATTTTATTAGTTTATTTAAAGATAATTTGTAAATTTATTTTTTATTCATTGATTTATTTAAAATTTCGATATTTGTTTGTTGTTGCTAAATTATTTATTTTTACCAATTATTTATGTACTAAAATCAAATTTTGGTTCACGATTGAAAAAAGTTGATTAATACCAACTTGAATAAAATCATCTGAAAATTATTTTACAATTATGAGGAACTAATCTTTTGCCAAAATCCCATGAAAATTGGTGTAAAATTGCAAAGCCAAATGTGGAAATCATAATTTACCTATTCTTGAATTTGCTGCAATGGCAATTTTATAACCTTTTTATTGGAGTGAATTAGGCCTATGGGTTTGAAAATATACTTATAAATCGATGAAATTACTGTTAAATTTTCTAAATAAAGCTATATGAATCAGAATTTTATACAAAAAAGTTGTCAAAATGTTTTGGCCTTGTAAGCGGTCAATGTCGATGTCTTGATATAGTCCCACGCTAAATAATTTTAGGTGGTTTTTATTGAATCATTTTTTTAATACAATATGAACTGAATGAAAATATATTTATTTAATTTAGAAAAACTCATAATTGTTGTTAATTCATTTTTATATTTTTAAAAGAGACTACTAATGCACAGAAATATATATTCTATTCATAGAAGAATGTTTTATCACCCAACATACTCCGGAAACGCACTTTTATAAAGGTCCAATTTTCGGGTAAAATTTATGTTATATTAGAGAATGATTTATTAAATATGCACAGTTTTCGCATTAAACTTCAGTATCAAATTTATGTTTTAAATTTATTATTTATATTAAAGTTAAAATTGTATAACAATAATCGATTTTGCACTTGAGAATGTTCAATTTTTAAATCAATGCTTTTATTTGATATTTAATTTTTCTGTGATACGCCTTTTAAAATCTAGTTCATTAAGTTCTTATATTTAAATAAATAAATATATATATATATATATATATATATATATATACAGAATATTCATATGATTGAAACGTTTCAAATAATTGTTTGCACATATTTGTCTTTTTAATTTTTAAAGAGCATGGTTTCAATTTCAAACATTGTATTATAT